TTTGAAGAGCAGCATGAGCCCCTTGTCCCCTTCCTTGGCTGCCTGCCTCCATAGGCTCAGCCACCACTGTGGGAGTTTCACAGGTTCTCCAGGCAGTGCTTTCCAACCCTTGTGGTAAAAGCAGGAGGCAGACAGAAAAGCTTCCCATGTTAAAGACAAATTTAGGAACCATTTTTGAGCCATCATCAGGGAGCAGCTTGGGGTGGACAAGACATATGGAGGATGTGAGGAGGGTAAATGTTTTTGACTACACAGCTGAAAAATGATTGTTTCTGAAAGGGGTGGGCTTGATAATACCAATCACTTTTTTCTGTGTCTGCAATGCAGGAGTTTCTCTGTGCTGATCTTGGCACTGACATTGAAATTGATGAGTGGCCTTTAGGTAAGTCACTTAATCAATGTGTTTGCAAAATGAGGATAATAACATTTATTTGCCTGCCTGAAATGGATGTAGTAAGGACAGACTGGTTAGTGCTGTGAAATGCTATTTATTAGTAATTGCAAGTACTATTATGCTGCAGACTTAAATTCCTTCTTGTCTGATAACTGAAATAGCTGAAGAACCAAATAAAAGTCTGAAATGTAAAGGTTTCAGCTAAGGTGGAGCTGGTTAACCTGCTTCCTTTTCATGAAGCTAATTAGGCTTTAACTGAAGCAATATACATCAAAAATGTTTCAAGCATGTACCTGCTCTTACTCAGAAGTAGAATGAGAGGAAATATTGTGGGATTCATATTTGAGTCACTGGGTAATGTGCCATTGATAATGGGTCAAGGGAGAAACCGGGTGTAACACAGAAAAATACATGTTCAAGCCTCTGTTCTGGGATGCAGGTGCACTCAGGTGTCCTCAGAGCAGGATGAGCAGCGTAGATAAGACAGAATTAGATGCATCATTACCATTTTCAACCCAATTAACATCCCCGCTCTTCAGGATTAAATAAGGTCTGTAACTTGCCTTTTGGTATGGCAGGCTAAAAAAAAAAATGAAGTCCTAAGGGGAGAAGAATGAATAATGCTGTGGAGCAGTATGAAGTAGATTAGGAAATGAATTACAGTAAACTGTCTTATCTGTGAGCTGGGCTTTGAGAACTCTTCTGAGGCCTCAGACTGCCCCCTTTCTCCCACAGATGTTTCTTTGAGAAGAAAGGAATATAGGATGGCTGCCTGGGGTGGCTAAAGAACCAGGTCCTGAAAAAAAATTTCTTTTTGCCATCTGTAATGCTACTAAGAATCATCCTGTTACAAACATGTTTAGTTAATGAAGTAGTTAAAATAAACCTAGGCTAACTAATAAAATAGTTAACAACTAATAAAAGAGTCATAATTTGATCCTTCCTTATGTTTAGTGAAAGCTAACCAGCAGGGTAAGTACCTCTGACTTGACTATAACTCAGGGGAATAACTGCTTCAGGAATGTTATACATATCTCACTTCAGCTACTTAATATTTTCACAGTGAATTTGTTTGAAATTTATCAAGGAAGCAGGAACTCAGACTGCGATTGGCAATATTTCCAAGAACACATAACAAGAGTTATGAAAAAAGAAGTGGTGGAATTGTTAACAAGGGAATGACTTACTTTGCCTTTCTCCAGTTTACAGCCTTGCTTTCCAATTTTAAGTTTTGCAATCCAAACTAAGGGCAAACCCAGCCAGGTGGCTGCATCTCCAGAGCAGCAGTGAAAAACGCAGTGGTTGCCGAGCGGGGCACCCGTGGCTCTTGGCAGTACTGCTTGGCATACTGTTGGCAGGATGGCTTCCTGCATGTATTGGAGAGGATAAACTTTCCACCAAGCTACAGAAGGAGAAACATTTTGCTTCCTTCTGTAAAACAGTTCTTGGAGAGATCGCAAGTCCCTGCACAGTGGTGTGGTACCCAGAGAACTGTCACACAGAGGCAAATGATCCTGTGTTAATAAGGTTAGAATAGAGAGGTGCCTCTTTGGGGCTCATCAAAACCTGCTAGCTGTAGGACACTCAAAGTAGGAAGAGTCAGATGTACTGAAAGCCAGACATTAAAGGGATACATTTAGAAGGAGATTTATATTCAGAAATAAAGAATATGGGATGCTGTAGGCTCCTCAGGTTCAAAGCAGGGCGTCTCGGAGGAGTTCTGCTACAGTAAGATGTGGGCAGAGCCCTGTCACTCAGAAAGACTGCAATGAAGAGATTAGGCAGAGGCAAGGTCCAGCAACTGCTCTGATCCCATGGGAGACAGTGCTACTGGATATAAAGGCATTGCTGTCTGCCACTCAGTGAATGCTAAGAAAAATTTCTGGGAAGATTTCGTCAAACTGGTAGAAGAACATGCTCAGTAATTTAATGTTCCTTTTGGGTTTTGATAATCATAGCCTTACAGGAAAATCACTCAAAGTGACATTTGAATAGCTATGTCAAAATATCTAGCAGTGGCAGAGTGCTAAGTATCCACAGGTAACAGGAATATCATGCAGGTTCAGTTGAAACAAGACAGAGGCACTCAATTTTCCAGCTATGAATTCTAGTCCCAGATTATCATGGTTCCTATGTTCAATTCAAATTCTCTCCCAAAAGAAATAGGTGCTGACTCGTTTAGAACAGGAATGTATATTTAAAAGTAATATCTTCCTTCATTTCCCATGTTTTTATTTCATTAGACCTCGTTTTAACCATGAAGAAACCCAGTTTTTGTTGATACAGCAGCAAGGTATGTCATTCTGCCAGCAAAGACACAATTTCAATGAGTGCTATGGTAATTAATATGTACATGAAAAAGGAGACATTCCATCCACCTTTAATGTGCTATTCTTAGCACCAGAAGTACTTCTAAACCCGTGATAGGAGAAGGAGATTTAACCTTACCCTGTCAAACTTAAGAGACACATCAGAAGTGCTACAAGAGGGGGAATTCCAAGTCATCTCAATTATGTGGTACCACATGAAATAATTATATTTAGTTACCCTTCAAAATGATATGTTCTTGAGGGGTAACTTTTATGTAATGCTCCTCTAAGCATGGCTAAACTCTGAGTGTGCTGCTTTTGATTTTTAAATAGCTCACACAGCTATAACCCCTGTGTGTTATCTCTAATGATGAATGACAGTATTATATTCACAAGCAGATATCACATTCTTGAAAGATTTATTTTTTCCCCTTAACTATCCTGGTTTACAATGTAAGACAAAAGAAAGTAAAGGCTTTGTTGGATCTTCTCTAAAACAGCGGAAAGTTATCAGAGATTTTATATTTTTTGCTAACAGAGATAATACACAATAAAAGACATTTTTAAAAAGAATTAAAAGAATAAAACTAATCAAACCTCTTTCAGTTAATATGCAAAGCACTGTTTAAAATATATTAACCTTAAAGGCGTAATGTAACTGATTTAAACTCAGAGAAAGACTTGTTTTCATGGTTCTGAATATTGAATAGGTTGTAAAATTAATTTAATTTAGTACAGAAACACAACAGAACCCACCACAGATCCTCAGTATTGAAAAAGGTCTTGATGTTTATGAAAAATTGAACCCTGATATAAAAATGAAATCATGTGAACAAGCAGGACAGACACCAAAAGCTGAAATATTTCAATTTATTCTAAAATGAAAAAAACAGGGCAAGACATTTGACTGTTTTAAGTTCAATTTGCAAAACATTCTAGATTTAAGAAAAACAGGGACAAGAGGTGATAGTTTGCTTTTTTTTTTATTTTTCATTATTAGGAATATCTATACTTCATGGAATAGAAAGGAAATTAAAAAACCAGGAAACATGGCAGCTATTTTTCTGTTGCTGGCAGTTGGTTCTTGTTTTTACACTTATGAATAACCAAGCCTTCCTTCTGCAGAAAAGGAATGGCTCCTTGTGCAACTCCTTGCAAAACCAGGGTAATATTTTGATGACACTTGCATCTCATATTTCACAGTGCTGTTCCTTCATCAACATGCAATGACATCATGGAGAAACCATCATGCCTATCTCATCCATCGATATGCTGTTTAATTTTCTTCCACTTAACTTTGAATTTCTTAGGGATGTCAATGCCATATGACTTACTGTAAAAACAAAGGGAAAAAAATCAACATTAAATCCAAGAAGAACTAGACAAGACAGAGGGAGAAGATAAACATGCTAGCACATAAATCAAGAAAACAGAACTAAAGCAAAAAGTATTAATTTGGGATATTACAAATTTAATAAAGGCAGTATTTATAAAAAGAGAACTAGCATGAAAATTCCTAAAACACTAAAAGAATTCCACTGAAGAAGTCAGCTGAAAAGCTTTATTTTGAGCTAATACAACTCAGATACAGAGCTCTTCACAAGTCTTCATGTAAATCTTATTCAGAGCTGTAAGTAACCCAGCAACTTGAACATAAACCTGAAAAATATCCTGGTATTAATCACTAGTAGTAGTGCTAGAATGGTTTCATCCTACCAGAGTAAATCTTTTTGACAAGCACAGAGGCAAGACTGGAAACAAGTCCATCCATTCAAAAATCCAAAGAATGTGTATGATATTTTATAGTGCTAAGAAAATAATAAGACATAAACAGTTGATCTTGCTTTTTACTCACTTTTAGGGTGTCTAATACATGTCCTCATTCATCAGCCCTTTTAAATATTAGGTATTTCAGATGATTTAAGTCAGATTGGTAATGACAGTGAGTGTCTTTTAATGCTATGACTGGAATAACAATTTGATTGTACAGGAGGTTATGTTACTTGAGACTCATTGGTTCCTTAATGACAGCAAAGTAGTCACAGCTCACAGAAATTACATGTATGTACAAAAATCAATCCAGTGAAGATGTGAGAATATTTTGAAATGACAATTAAAAGAAAAGGAAATAGAACACAGATGTAAGAAGATAAATATTTGGCACTGTGTAACATAAATGACACAAAGAAAATTTTGGTGGATACAGCTAAATTATGTGTTTTTCACTTAGAGACTCAAGTGATTTAAAGTAAGAGAAGCTAAAACATCCTATGCAAGATGACACAGTTAATACTTGCCCTTAAGAACTGCAGAGGAAGGTTTTATGTTCAGAGGACGATGGTCCAGATTTAGAGAATGACTCAGCTCCCTTTGTAAGTGCTCCTTGTAAGTGCATGTGTTGAAGCAGATGACAACACAGGAGTTGCTGAGGAGACAGCTGAAGGAGGTCAAGAAGCAACAGATAATTCATAAATTTTAGAAGTAATTTGGTATTTTAACTGTGTGCAGCTGAAACAGCAAAGGAGGAAACAGAACAAATAATTCTAACAGTGTGGACAATTATCTTATGAATGAAGAAACCCCTTTATTTGCACAAGTTAATTCCTTAACCATAGACAATAAAAGAACCAGATAATGACAACCAGAAAAATGTCAGGAGAGGATCAGTGTGGTTTATGAGACTAAGCTTTAATAAGGGTAAAACATGGAAGATTTTGAAAGTATTCCTATTACATATGGTACTATTCTTACTAGAGAGTACTATTATGGCTACTACTTCACTACTATAAACCTGACTGACCAAAGGCAGTGAACTGTATCACTGATTAAAAAAAAAGTTTAATTTATAGAAGGTTGGTATTAAAGCAAAAATATGTATCTATAACAGAATATAAATAATGTATATAAAATAATATATATCATATATATAATATATATATCACAATATATTATGATATATCTATAATAAGATATATAACAACCTATAATAATAGAAACCTGTAATGATAATTTTGCCTGGAACACTGTGTTATGAGTTTCCGTGATAGCCAAAGTAAATGGCAGGTGGGTTCCAGAGACTCCAGATAACTACAGCTCCATGTGTTCTCATTTATCCCACCATAATTATTCATATTTCAAATTATTTGAGAAAAAACAGGTGGATTAAAAGAAGACATAAAAATATTTGTAATTTTTTACCAAGACATAGCATTTTGAATGCTTAAGTATTTCTACAGTGTATTTATCAACAGTTGGCTAATGCAAAACTAGTGCACAATGAGCTGATTTGCTCGTGATCCCAAAAGCCATAGATATAAGGTTTTTCATAAGATCTGTTGGGATTTAAACATAAATTTGGTAAATACTACAAAAGCAGAATAAATTGGAGAATGTTTGGCTTAAGGTTTTTATATTCTGTATTAACAAACTACTGAATTGCTGACAGGCTGTAAAACAGGCCTTTGAACAGTATAAGCATTCATGATGTCTTCCATTTATAGATGCTTTTCTTGAGAAGCTCAATGACATATTTGAACTTAACAATGCAATGATCTCCAGTTTTATACAGCTCTGCTGACTGTGCACTTCAGCAAAACTACTGTGATTTTGAAAAATCAGCCTGTCTCTAACCTGTCTCCTGGATTCTCCACTATGGTATTACAGTTTTATATTGCTTAAACTACTGATTTTAGTAAAGTAAATGGCTGAGTGATAGAGGAATAAAATTGCAGAGGATTGTAGAAATTTGAGAGCCAAGGAGTAAATATACTATGCAATATTCAAACTAGCTGGGAATAGGCAAGAGGGAAGAAGATGTTGTAAAGTTTAAAAATAAAAGCAAACTTACCCAAAGCTGAGGAATTAGAATTCCCCAAGGTAAACATCACTGTTTTTCTTGTGAAGGCCTCGGGGTTGATGACTTATAAAGCAAGTCCCACCTCTTGTCTGCATCAGGAAAACTGCCAAGCTCAGGACTTAGAGGCACACTGGAAAGGTGACCAGAACATCAGAGAAGCAAGGCTTTTCTGCATTAATCAGAAAAATTATACTGTTAGAATATTTACTGGGCTAACAGTAAATTCTTATCAGTGTTGTATATGGTGCAACAAAGAAGATTTTCAGTGTAACAAACCAGTGGACAACATGGTCAAACTTGTCTATGAATCTTTCTTGTTGGGCTGCTGAACAGTCAGCTCTCTTAAAAAACTTTAGTAGGAGGAAGTCTACAGTCATCATAGAAGACTGGAAATGAATGCAGCAGGTGTGCAGTCCTGTTTTCTGGCCATTATCTTATTTACTATAAAATCAAAAAACATTGGGCAAAACAGGTGCTTCAGGATCACTAACAATCCAAACCAAACAGAGAAACAGTAGTTACATCAATTTATGATCTGGCTGTGACTCACTCCAGCCAAACCTTGCCATGGTAAGTGGCAGGTTTTGTTAGGGACAGAGAAACTTTGTTGAAAATCTGAGAGAAAGATGAGAAACCAGATGGCAGTCAGAGCAAGCTGATGACAGGTGGATACTGAATGAAGTACCAAGTGTGCTTATACTTGCTTTAAAAGCCTCTGGTCATAGTCCTGTGTGACCAGAGATCTCTGTCCCTGTCCCTTTCTCATGACCCAGCTGAGTACAGACTGTTTTTATTATGGCTTTACCTGTAAAGGACAAAATAAGGTAGACTGATATAGGAATCAAGGAAGGAGAAAAACAAATCCAACCTCTTACTACACATGTCCACTCTGCTCCTAGAAATACCTGTCTTCCTCTCCTTTTGCAGAAGAAATGGCTGGGCTGAGGGAATGGCTCATTCAGCCGGGATAAACCTTGGAGATACAGATTGCTGCAAACCAGCTGTTCCTGCAGTAGCAGCTGCCTGCCCTGAGTGTGAGTGTAACACTGTATGAGCCTGAAAAAGGCACAGAATTTGAAAGATTGTATCATCTTTCAAAAGGGGGGGGATGTATCACAAACCAAAAGAAAGCAGAGATTATATTAGGACCAGAAAAAGCTGTCAGTCTGTGTTGGAAGTTTTTGTGGCAAGACAGGCAAGCCTTGAATTATGACCAGGGTGTATTTTAAGACTGTAGTGGATGTCCTGGACACAGAAATGTGTTTAGTTTCAGGGTCTATGAGCTGGTAACCCATAGGAGGGAAGAAGTGATCTAGTGGACACTAAATAATAGCAAGCAAGAAAAACAAACAAAAAGTCCATCAGAGTGCATGACTCAGATGCTATAAAACCTGCTTTTTTTTTGTCAGCATTCACTCTCATATATTCTTCTCTGGTAAAAGTGACAAAAGGGGGATGACAAAGTGAAAAAAGGCACAAAAGTAGTCCATGCACATATAAAATGGTAGGAAATAGTGCAGTAAAGAAATAGTCAGACCTAGAACAAACACATATGGAAACAACACAAGAAAAGTCAGGAAGTGATCCTGGAACTAGCAGATCACTAACTGAAGACTGGCATAAAGAAAAAGGCAGCTAATTGCTAATGCCCCACCTTTGCAGACACCAAGGTGAACCTCCCCACCTGGGGATGGCTCGCCTTCCTGGTGGAACTACGGGACAAGCGGAAAATGAAGAGCCAGAATGTGGCCTGAGAAGATAACATAATGCAGAAAGAAACAAAGAAACTGCATATTCAAGCAGGAGAAATCAGAACTGCTGTGAGCAGGGTGACTGCTGATGTGTGATGATGTCCTGCTGCAGGGGCTGATGGTACAAGCAGAGATTGGGCACCAATAGGAACCATTTTTTGAGTAGGATTGTGTAATGGAATACAACATCCAGAGAGAGAATTTTGAGAGAGAAAGAGAAGGCTCAGAGACATCTGAAAGGCAGGATGTTTGAAACTGAGGAAAACTGACAGAGAGCCATCAGCACTTAAACTATTCTAATGGAACTGGGACTGCATTGACTTGAAAAACCAAAATTTACACATACAATACATGATTGCAACTAATATATTACCAGTGAAGGTTGCTATTTGAATTAAAATATAAATTTTAGCTGTTTGTTTCAAAAAAACCCTGTTATCTAAAAAAAATTATCTAATAATACAAAGTAAATTTTCGTACTAAGTAGTAATGAAGTAATTGTTTTATTAGCATGTACTTCAACATAAAATATTCAGGAAACAGAAATGAAGTTAATAATCCTGTATATACTCAGAAACTCATACTGAAGGAGGTGCTGGGTGCCCGGGTAACTAATAAATTATATTTGTTCCTTTTATTTCCTACATATAACACAGTTTAAGCAATCCCTTCCAAAAGTACTCATACTGGAAGCTGCATGTCAGTTAGTTTTCTTCACTGCATAATTTTGTTCAGCTGCATACATATAGAAAAAGTGAAAGGCATACCACTTTTCTTTGAATGCCATGGCTGATTTTAAAAAAAAAACCTTTCTAATAACAGAAAAAGGATCCAACCTAAAGGATTTATCTCTAAGTGAGAAATAAACCTATGTGAAGACAGATTAGTTCTTCCTAATCTGTGAATATTGATGTTGCCCATATTGATGTTGCCCAAAAAATGTCTGTGTATATATTTGTCTTGGATGAAGATTTCTATGTTTGTAGGAATTTAGAGTTTTGAGTGTTCTAAGAAGAAAAGGTGAATTACCAACGCATACAAAATTTCCTATAGAAAATTGTATTGCATACAATACAATCACCTATGGCAACGGACTGCACACCTGCAAGTGTAGCTCTGTATCACTGGGATTGTGAAGGCTGCGCCTTCAGTTATTGTACTGGGGATATTCTAAGACAAAAAAATACATAATTATGTTCTCAGAACCTTTTGTGTGCTAAAGCATTTTCTGTATAACAAGTATGCATTGCATATATGTATATATAAATGCATTATTAATGAGGGTGTTGGGTTTTCTTTTCTTTTTTCCCCAAATTTATCCAATATTTTGAAAAATGAAAATTCATTGGATAAACCAGAATTAATACTGACAAGATCTAAAAGACTGTCTGTGGAGAGCATTTTGGACTTCCAAAAGTTCTGCATTTCACACACAGTTTGCACCAGATCCATCTGCTTTTCCTGCAGTGAACTCCAGATAGACTTGAATCCATGAATACAACTGAGGTACTATTCTGCTTTTTGAAAACTAAAATAGTTCTATACATACTAATGAATTTGTATTGACAGAGCTGTCAGAGCATTAGTAGTATGCATCTCCTTCTTTCTTCTCACCTCACTTGACCTCCCGAAGGATTACAAGTGTTACCCTCTGAACGATTATCTGGCAACCTCACTTTCTTTTCTGAGTAAAAGGCCAGGCAGCCTAAATGTCTGGAGTGTTTCAGGGAGGGAAGTGGGACTGTGCAACCAAGAAACACCCAAAGTAAGATCATTCCTCGGGGTTTTAGGAAAGACCTGACAAAGCAAAAGTCAAGCAGCAGCAAGAAAGCAAAATTGCTGCTGATGCTGTAGGGTTTCATTCTCAGTTCTAAGAGTACTGGCTATAAGGAATACAATATTTGACAAGTGTTAATAAGTTGCATGTTTAATAGTATAAAAATAAAAATATAGGAATAAAATATATTTTTACAGGAACTCCTGCAATAATAGGAAGAATGTTCCTCTGGGGCAACTATCCCAGAGAGCTCAAGCTACTTATTTTCTAAGTGTTAGATATAAACACACATTGGTAAAACAGAGGTGGTAGCTATGAAGAATTGTGGCATGGCATTAAGGAGAGAGTCCAGAATGTTTTATGTTCTTCCTGCAATGCACACACATATACAAACACCAGGAAATTGCAGTAAGTTGTAGAAAGTTGTGACTATTGGCAGTAATTACTTTTGAGAAATATAGAAGGCATACAACTGACAGAGTATCTACAACATCCAAAAATATTACAAAATTCCTGAAGGTTTTATTTGTGTTTTGCATCTGTGAACTGTTTCACAAACTCTTACTTGATTTTTTAGTAAGACTCATAGACATTTTCACAACAAATATTGTTCTACATCTGTGGATGTTTTAAAATTGATATTGCACTTTGAAGTCTCTTGATTAATGCATAAACAACTTTGAAAGATATTTACATTTTTTTATATTCTGTTATAGAAGGTAAGGACACCAAAGCATAACCACACTGCAATATTGTGAAAGCAAGAAGCAGTCATTATTTAGGACTTTCAGTTTGTTGGAATGTGTTTTTACTTTGCTCTGAATGGTAAGTGAAAATGGCTTTCCCATCAATTGTGCTTACTGGAATCTTACAACCCTGAAACTGGATTTTTAGTGTTTCAGATGGTGTATTTGGTTTGATCTTTGAAGATGTGTTGTTGCTCCCATATCAGGGCAAAGGTGATACCATAAAATATAGTATCAATACCGTACATTTCTTATAAACCCCAAACTTAAAAAAGCTCTAAACTAAAAGATATATAGCAACAGATACTTGGAATGTTTGCTGCAATTTTCAATGATACATGCTTTGTTCTTCATATGTAATCTAACACTTGAATCCTTGCTGTAGTACAGTTTTAATTATGGAACAGTGACGTGATGTTTGGCAGCAGCTGTGCAACACTGACCATTTCCTTTCTCCTATGTGTCACACCTTGGCAAATCCAAAGATAGGGATAAGTGTCATGGGATCACAGAATAGCTTGTGTTGAAAGAGACCTTTAAAGGTCATTTACTACAATCACCCTGCAATGAGCTACAGCTCCATGCCCAGTGTCTGACCTCTCTCCTCTCTGGGAAAACTACCAAGATAAATTATTATTTAATTAATTATTAATTATTACCAGATAATTATTTTTAAAGGGGGGCATTTGCTTTGTGTCTGGATGACAACTGTGCAGCTAATTTCCTATGGATCCTTGAACAAGTAACATGGGGAAGTTTGGCTAGCCAAATAAGCTAATTTTCCTTCAAACTTTCAACTCTACTTTGCATTAGGCACTGAATGTGAAAAGAACAGTACAAAAGTGGGAAGTTGCAATGGGTGCCTTAACATGCTCAGATGTCTGAAATGTCAATAAAGGATAGGGGACCCTTCAAGAATCCATTTTTCTGGAATACTGAAGTGCAAATACTTTTGAACAGCTGTCTGTCTACAGCAACAGCTTTTCTTGATAGTTTGCATTCTGAGATCCTGTATAGGCACAAGTCACAGGTTGCCAGCTCTTGCTCATGGACAAGATCTCTCATCTTTAAGTCATGGGCAGGTGCAATGGCAATAAAAATACATCTCCCCACATGCAAGCAGGCACAGTGGGACAACCATACCTAGCTGAAAAAAGACTTCAGGAAAAGGAGCTGGGAGAAGTTTTGCCCAGACTAAAATGATAGCAAGTCTTCAATTATTGAACTGAACCATATAAAGGATGTGCCTTGAGACTTGTGACTTTGAGAGATCAGCAACTCTTAAATGTTACCAGCACAGAGTTAAAAAAATATCCTGCTGCCTTTGGTACCTGCCCTCTCTTCTCAGACAGGTTAAACTGTGGGATTGGGCAGTCTCTGCATTAGCTGCAGAGCAGAAGCCTGCACCCCAAAGACAACTCAGATAGGCCTGCTCTAAGCCACTTGGTTTAGAAGAACCTGGAGCTCAGGAATTTGCTCTGTAAGAGCCAGTCAAGGCCAGAGACCTCACAGATCCATTCTGGCTGAAATATGAAAAGAAACTATTCATTAGGGAGAATCTGAACCAGTGCCTCAATGAAGAAAAAGGTTTTTTCCTAACTTTGTTCCTACAGTTTATCATCTCTGTCATCGTTTGCAAAGTAAGTGCAATATATTAGTGAATGAAAACGGAGGTGCTCCATGACAGGAATAGCCTTTTTTCTCTTCAAAATTTAGGTTTGTTTGAATTTTGCATATTAGAAAAAATCTAAATAGATTTTATAAATTTAACTATACATTTACTGCTCAGCACTACTCTGCAAAATTTTAAAGTATACATAACTTAAGCATGAGCATCCTTTGAAAGACTACTTTGGAATAATTTATATACTCTAGCCTCACTGGTAACTGGGTGTCAGACACATGCCTTAGACACCACTCTTATATGATCCACTGCTGTCCCCATAAAAGAGCAGTTATTCCCAACAGTCCTACTCTTTCTGTTTCTACTGGCAGCAGCTGGCAGCTTTGTTTCCATCCCTGACAAATGCACAAAGACACATTCAGCTGTTGGGACAATATTCATTGTCTGAACTGCTGGTTTTGCCTCCAGGTAGAGAATTAAATGGCAGTGTCCTGAGAGCCAACCTCGGCTCGTGGTAGGAACACCAGGATCATGGTGTAATCAATGATTAAAATAAACATGTGCTTAAGTATCTTGGAGTTACCTGTGACAAAGCAGGCAGATAAAATCATGCCCAAGTTGTAAAATGAAAGTAGTAGAAACAGACAGTATGCTTATTCATATTCTGGTTCTCAGAGTGTTAAATATATCACTGGGGCTTTTTCTGTTATAAGGACAGCAGCTATCTGCAGAATTTAACTTCCTGAAGTTCAAGGTTGCTTGTATATGAGGTTGGATGCTGTGTCATTTCTATTTAAAATGAATGTTACGAACCTCTCCAGGGAGGTGCAAGTCACAGCTACATTCCTACACAAATTGCTAATGCTCATTTACAGAGGTCTTTCTTGTGTTCATGCTGAAAAGCTAATAATAATGCTGTGAACTTTCTTGGGCTTCCTGACAATGAAAAAAACCAAAGAAACTGTGCAAAAACTGAAGCTCCTGTTTTCAATGGACATGCATTCAGAGGCTGCAGGAATTGCTCTCCCACCTCCATTTCAAACAGCAGGTGCCTCTCCAGTACTGAACACCTGGAATCCCCAAAGCAGCAGCACATGTAACTTGCAACTATTGCAAAAAAAGCCCAATTTCCTGCCTCTTGATAATAAGCTAGAAATTCTCTTCTCCTTTTAGTTGACCAAGCTAGTTAAGTGTGAGAGTGAGGGTGACCCATTTGCAGAAGAACATGATATGATGCACACAGTACGAGGAAAAAAGCAAAAAGAAGATGGTAGGAATTGTTCAACATTGATTTAGCACAAGTACTGAAAGCACAGCCACACAGAGTTTTGAGAAGCCCAGCTAATTTTAAAATAAATTTTCAGTCTCCAGTGACTGAAGAAATTGTGACCACTGTGCAAGAAAGAAATCTTGATCTATCACAGCAGGATATGACAAGTAGCTCTGCTACAGCATAGATGCTGCTTCTTTCAACAACCAAACCAAAACTCCTTGGGCGTTCTGTTAGGGTAACTGGTCTTGCAAACAGTGTGACTGCTGCCCTACAGTTTGAGGACAGAATATTTGTTGCACTCCATAAGGAGAAAAAGAACAAAGGTACTTGGACTTTTGCCTGTGTAGTTAGAAACTGCTACAGGAAGGAAATACAGTGTAGTTAAGTGTACCTGCACTGTTGATGAAACAAACAATTTCACTGTAGCCAGTTTTGGGAGAAGTAATAAATGAAGTGTTAGTGTTCATCACACACCGTGCTGTTAGTCATGGGGCAGACAGGAAAGAGAAACAGCACTTACATTCAGAGGAAGCCAAGATAGGGGGGGATGAGTCTCAAACTGAGAACAACAATTTTGGAGATGGTTGTGGGAAAGAGTTAAGGTATCTAGAAGCTGAAAAGTTTATAAACTGTGGCTGAAAAGCATTCAAAAGAGGCCTCTAAATAAACTTTCTCACCACATATCAAAACAAAGCAAAATTGCTGGACCTTAAATAAAAGTGCTCAGTGCTGGCCTAGAGGCATGGTTAGGCTGGTGATTAGTTGCCTTGGATATTTGGTGGCCTATCCAAAAACGAGACATGTTGATATTAGGTCAAAAACTTCCACAGCAATCTACCTGTGGTAGTCAGCATTTCGAGCTGCACTAGGATCAGCTGAACTAATCTTACCGCGTTTGGAATTTGTGTCTGATAAAAGTAACATTTTGCTGTACTCAAACAGTGTTTATGAGAATTCACGGATGTCCCCAGAGTCTTGTTTTGCTGAGCTGTCTGTGAGCAGGCCAGCACCCTATCAAACAGTCGAGAAATTTATTCCAGCACTCACGATGATGCCAAATCTGCTCTGGGGGGTGTTGATGTTGGCTGGGGAGCGCGGTGGGCTTTATGTGTGTGGGAACACAGAGTTCACCCGGCAGCTGACACACTGAAAAAGACATCAAAGAGCCACTAAGAAAACAAACTGAGGGACCGCCGAGCCACGGCAGGCAGACATCCCCCTCCGGCCGGGAGGGTGGGCTCCCGCTGATGCTTTCTTTTTTTGTCGCGATTTTTTTATTTCCTCTGCTGTCACCCCACGTCGTTCGGAGACCGGCGCTTCTCTCTCACCGCCCGCGGCCGCTTCCCGCTCCGCAGTGAGCCGGGGCTGCCGCACCGAGCCCATCGCCGCGGGGAGGCCGGGCCAGGCCGGGCCGGGC